GGGTCAGATTTTGCGGTACATGTAGAGTGGGAGAGAGGATTATCATCTCTTCTGAGGTGCATGAACTACAGTATCTAACACTTCATGGCTCGACAGAGTGGGTATAAAGCGGGAGGTGCGCATAGTGAGAGAGACGCAGGGCAACACTCTTGACTTAGGTGGCAGCTCGTTCAAGAAGAGTGTGGAGCGAGTTGTAAGGGAGGTGTTGTTTTGTATTTTTGTATTTGGGGATGGGGGGTTTGGAGTGGAGAGAAATTGGTGTTGGGCGCACAAGATCTATATGGGGCGAGTCAATCGCAATAGGACACAAGCTAGACTATGCGACTACGAGGCAGAGGACACTACACTGAGAGTGGACTCAGAGGCACGACCAGTGTTACTATCTTGTGGGTGTCTTGCGGGATACAGGGTATACTTCTGTGGCTTTTACTGTCAAATCGTATTGTCTTAGAACAGAGAGAGATCACACAATTCGAAAGAGAATCAATTACCACAACTCGCGAGCGTTGGAAGCGACTTAGAGAGTATCTACACGATGACGAGCGGCATAGATCGTAATGAGCAAGGGTGGGAGTACTATTATGAGGCGAGGGACAGAAGAGTAGACATAGAGCCATAGCGTCTAGGCGTCAGCATGGACATATGTGATGAGATGTAGTTGAGATACGAGCGTGTATCTCATCACTGAAGGAAGGGTCTTTACGCTAGGTATACACAGGATTTCTGCTCTCGTTGTGTGATCTAGATACTACAGTGGAAGGTACTGGGTGCCTAGAGAGAGGTAGGGATACAGGAAGGGATGAAGAGTATATCTGAGCTCTTGTATGTCTGTCAAAGAACTGGATGATTTCTGTCTCTACATAGTAGAGAGCAAACATGGGCGTAGCACACAGGAGGGGAAACGGACAGGGTGTGCGAGTAGACACTTGAGCACGAAGTGAGTGGCAAGGAGATAGTCGGTGTGATTGAGTAGAGGGAGAGAGGCCTCATGAAGGTTCTCGTTGGTCCTCTAATGAGCGAAGCACGAGCGGTCTCATAACTTACACTTTCACAGTAGAGTGTATATATGGGAGCGTAAATAGGGACAATGAGACCACACATATAGTGAGGTACGGGACCGACTATTCTAGTGTCGAGCTTCATATACGAGTGGAATCGAGTCGGAGCACGAATCACTATCTTAGGCGAGTCGGCACATTTTGGATTGCACAGATACATTAGAACACGATGGGTGGCGGCGAGTTAATTCAGTCGATAGTGTGACATCAACAACGGATGTGCTCTACAGCTGGGAGCTAGAGTGAGATAAGAGGAATGAAGACTGCGATGAGAGATCACAGATAGGTAGAGTCATACTCTAGTAGTTTGTCTTGAGCGAGTGCGTTCGTGGGATAGCACTCTCGCTGAGAGAGAGGGTGATGCATTCTATTGAGATCACAAATTTCAAGCGAGATGGAAACATATCTCACTATGACGGGGATAGATACATGTCGTGAGACTATTAGCTCTTGGTAGGAGAGTTTATGTGTGATACATTAGAGAGGGGGAGAGGACATACTATCTAACTGTCTGTACTATCTAGCGCAGGAGAGGGGAAGCGGATTGTGGTGTAAATAGACAAAAAGTGGAAACTGGGACACACAGGACATAACATTACCAGCGATGCAAGTAACATTTATTTTAGAGAGCGCGAGTGAGGTGAGGTGTATGGTACAGGTGTGAGAGGCGTAAATTATTTGAGGGGCGATACAGAGTTTGTGTATGCGGTAGGTTACAGCGAGGAGTCGACTCTAGAAGCTAGTGACTAAGGCAACTCAGCGGGAGTGAGGGTATGCGTCATCTAAGTGGCACTAAGCTAGTGCGTTATCTTTCAGACGGATGTCAACAAATGGGGAGGTACATAGCAAAGGCGTAGGTGCAGTAAAATTAGGTGAGAGTACGTCAGGCTAGGGGTCTGTTTCTTACACTGCACAGGCGACTCACAGAGAGATGGTCTTCTTCTATACTTATCAGTGTGTACCTTTAGGACTTGAAATGACGGAGATCTACGGCATGTCAGATGGTCGAGGTGTGAGGGCGAGGGTCAGCAGGAGGTATAGTAGGCAGAGTGGCAATATGCAAGTGTTGTCGCGGCGCAAGTTGCTATCCAAGATTGTGTAGGCGAACAACTTAGCAGGCACGGCTACGCAAAAAGACTAATTGTGCACATAGGCACGAATATTTAAAATCGATTGCTGTCTCGAGAGCTATCAGTGTGACACGAGTTGGACTGACAGTGGATCTTAGAAAGTCGAGACTGTACACTTGATACAATCTCGCATCATAGACCGCACCACTCTAGAGAGCGAACGCCAGGGGAGCGAAACACACAATTATACATCTTGATGACACTCGCTAGCGTTGTTATACAGGCGAGATGAAGTATCGTACTGAGGACTGGTGCGTCGTCTTCACTGGACGATCACGCAGTGGTTAGAGGGGACATAGGGTGTAGCGAGTATCGGTAGTGTGCGCAGAGCAGCGTGGAGGGTACGCGGGATAGCGGCACTAGGCGAGTGCGACTATTAAATGCATCGAGCTAGTAGAGGCGAGGCGTGCGCAGGGCGATCAGCGAAAACAACACAACGGGACACAAGACGGATTGTGACGCGGACAAGCGTGGAAACGTACTATGCGAAGATAGACAATCACACGACACACGACGCGTAGTTATCTGGTCTAGAGTCTCATGGTCTAGATCATCTAGAATGGTGGAGATGTCCTTGCGGGTGAAACGTCTCTATGGGGAAATTGCATCAAATACAACGGGACGCACATATAGACAGCCATAACTAGTAGGGGTAGTTGTAGTGGTGAGTGTGTAGCAACTAAATCTGATAGATCAGTGGAAGCATGTTTCTGTACTTATCTCTTCTAGGATGGTGCCACACAGGTGGCACATTGTGTAGTAATTATAATTCAGGGTGTAGGGGTGTGAGAATGAAGGTAGTGTTCTGGATCATATACTTAGGAGACATAAGGACATCATGGGGTAAAGGGTCAGAGTGAGTTCAATTCAATGCACATAGAACACTGAGCGGCGGGCGGCATAACACTGAGGAGTACGGTCGGACGTAGGAAAGGACACAATGAGTGGGATGTACAATGAGAACAGGAAGCACACACAGAGAAGAGACATGCTGGGGGTTATGAACATGATGGGATATGAGGTGAACGATTAGAGATAGAACATATGAGATTTAGTGGTTGGAAGGGTCGAGAGGGTGTCGGGTTGGATCAAGGGAACAATTAATGAGGGAGATGGGGTAGGGACACGTAGACTCTAGGGAAGTGAAACGAGGTGGGTGGTGGGTCAGTGGGGGAACGTACACAATCTCTGACAAACCTAGTCTACAGGGGGCGGTAGTGCAGGGGGTGTAGATATGTACTTGGATAGGAACATCATTGGTATAGTTGATGGGATGGAAATCGATACTTTGGAACTGTTTACGGACAAAGTGAGCAGTATCGTACTCATAGGAGGTGGGTGTCATGATTCATGGTAAGTCGACTACATCGGGGGGGAGGGAGAGGGGATTGTTTTGAGCTACGCAGCTGTATGTATTGACTAAAGAGGTGGGACATAGCTCTAACCACACGCAATCGTGCAGTTTAGTGGTATGGTTCTTGAGGGGCTGGCAATATCAGGAGACAGGGACTATCATTTCATGACACAAGACAAAAACATACAAGTAAACGTCGGAACTTGGTAGGGGGATGGGGTCAGCAGATGTTATGCAAGCTAGTAGAAGTTATGGGTGTTTTTGAGGATGAAACAGAATTACTGTGCAGCAGAGCAGAGCTGAATAGTCACACTTAGCGGTAGGAGAGAGCATTGATAATCAGCGATGTGCGTGATAGATCTGTATGCGTCTGTGGGGATAGACGCGTCACACACACGTTACAGGTTATTAGGTGTCACAGACTCAGGAGGTGTGATTGTGTGTGAGTGTGGGACAATACACCACATCGGGGGCAATCGATAATCCGTGAATAGACTCAGGGGATGGATCAGCGTACAGTGGGACGATGAAATTGTGAGAACGGAAATTCATCTCAATTAATCAAGGAGGCTCTACAGACCAAGCGCTGAGGCTGCAACACAAGATGTGAGATAGAAGTAGTAGAGACGCTGACTATATTATGAGTGGGGTCTTGCGTGAACATTGATTAATCACATCTTGGACAAGTGAAGAGACTAGAGTCTACAATGTCAGAGTATGAGACACACATACAGGGATGGTGTGGACGAGAACAGCAAGTGACTGCTTATGAGTGCATCGTTGAGTGATAGCGGGGGCTGTAGAGACAGGTCTTGACGCCGTCATTATGCCGGCAGCAGACTGCACGAGAGAGGGAATGATATCGGGGGGGCGTCGGGGTATACAGAGGGGAGTGAACATCGCAGGATTATATCAGGGGACAGGAGAGGGGGTGCGACAATAGGTGGGGAGTAGTGAGATGAGTGTAGAGCTGGGGGGGTGGCGAGCATTAGGAGATTATGGTGTCAGTACACTCGATATTAGATATACGTATTATTATTGAGCGGGCGAGGAGAAGGTGGAACGACTAAGTGTGTTGCACACACGGTTGAGTGAGTTGATGACGAGCCGTGTCAATAGCGAGATGTCATTGGTACGGTGGCGGAAGTTCTTGTATGCAGAGATATAGATGGTCAGTTGCGACTAGTGTGGTGCGGAACAGACGATTGACAACGGCACTCAGCAGGCCATAGTGAGGAGAGAGTGCAGGACGCACGTGTGAGTCTGACTTATGGGGTGGATCACACTAGTCAGAGACGGATGCAGAAGAGACGAGAGGCAAGAGAAGGGCACATTGTAGGTACGGCCAAGAAAGGTGTCTACGTGCGCGCACAGCAGCCTAGAGGCGAGCTAGCCGTTGTTACAATGGGGGACACATCAGACTATTAAACAGATGGGTACAAATACAATTGAGTCACTTCACACAGCACTACAGGCATTGGGCAGGTAGGACGTATCTCTGGACGCGAGAAGGGCAAGAGTGTCTAGGTGCTGTGCAGATGGTCGCATGTCTGTGGCTGCACGAGAGGGGTGTGCACAGAGGGGGTCGAGGGCGGCTGTGAGACATAAGCACACGACACGTGACAGGTGCTGTTAGGCTGCGGTGGTAAGGAGGATGGGCATGTGAGGACTATGAGAGTAGAGGCGCATTCGTCTGTCAGTAAGCAGTGCAGACGCGACATGATCTTGGTACATCGTGTAGAGAGGAATGGGGTTGGTCTCGGGTGAACAGGGGGGTGGATAGACAAGTACAGGCACGGCTCTTGGATCTGTAGAGAGAGATAAGGGGAGAACAGAGAGGTACACTTTACACACACATACTAGGGGATACAGGTGATATTCTCAGCAGGTGATATCAGGGTTATTTGGGAGTGTTAGGTGAGTGAGGAGTAGTCAGACAATACAACGAAGAGGATGTTGTGTTGTTCGAGGAAGAGCGAGGACTGATGTAGACTCTGACAGGTCTGTCTTAACACTTATTGAACACTGCGTCAATACAGATATTACATTCTGTGGGGCAACGGTTCGGACTCGCTCATATGCATTGCGAGCAGGGTAGAGTGAGCAGGTCTTTCGGCTCGTGGACACATAGGATGACTGCAGGAGACACAGGGAGAATGGAAAGAGAGAAGGGATCAGGGACAGAGAGTGTGAGGAGCGTTGATCACGGTAGGAGAGAGAGGAGCTATAGAGGGTGTGGAGAGCCTGTGGGTGGGGGCGTGCGGAGGGGAGCGCACACACGAGTGTGTGACAGTGGATGTCGACGAGGGGGTGAGAAGATATAGTATCAGGGTGGGAGCTGTCGCGATGCAGAGACTCGAAATAATAGCCAACACATGTCTATCAGGTTAGGGTACATGAGTGAGTATAATACGCACAGACCAAACAGGCGACTACGTGAACAGTGAAAGTCCAGATCTTAAAATGAGCGGGCAAGCGGAAGTGAGGGAAAAATTCAGGGGTGATGCTGATTGGGTCAATAAGGACGAGGTCTGAGTACACACTGATGAGTTTGAGCTAAGCAAAAGTGGAATGGGTTGAGGACAGTCTGAAGGGGCAAAGTGCATGCAGTGTTCTTGTAGATACAGGACCGGGGTGGTGGGGGGCTAGTGGACAGGAGGAAATAGGGTGGCGAGAAGTGCAGTTGGGAAGCAGTTGTGAAGATCCACCCTGACATCACGACTTTCACTAGTCTTCTCAACACAGTCAGGATGTCATGGCTTATACTCCTCATCGATCCATGCAGCACACACGAACACTGACTGAGAGCGGAGCATGTCGGACTCGCCGAGGAGTTGTCTAGAAAGACCCGGTCATATCGAGCGACGTGACTCATGACGCGAAATACCCACTCAGGAGACAAACTCTAGATGAGACTGAGCTCGCAGACAATAGGTCTTGCGTAGAATCACTAGCTGGGCAGCAGCACAGTCCAGACATCTCGCCGAGAGGACATTGGAGTGGGACATCTCGTCGACAGTAGATAGGATTCGCGACCACAGGTTGAAGAAATAGATAGCAGGGACACATCGGAGACCACCGGGCGTCCCCATCAGATGTGATAGAGACGAGCCGTCCTAGAGGTAGCAGACTCTCGGGCCGCAGCCGACTGGAGATCAGCTGCGAGGGGAGCGGAGAGAATAAGGATCGCTCGGACGGACTCCTTAGCAGGCGAGAAGTGTAGTAGCACACACACGTGGGAGTCGAGAGCATATAGCTGAAGACGAGATCCGGCAAGACAGGCGTATTACTTCCAAAGACAGAGCTGCCTGCCGCACTGGGTTGGGAGAGTGATCCCAAACCGGTCTACTAAGCAATAGTCCAAGACGAACAATCGAGTACAAACTCAGCCGTCATGGATTCTTACTGACTATACGAGGTAGATTTCTCAGCTCGTTGAGTGGAGCAGGTACCGCCTAGAGTGGCTCGCACGGTAGGTATGAGGCGGCTCAGTCACAGCCCGGGGGGAGTATAGTGACCGCGTCGCGACAGGGGTGCGACATGACAATAAAATCACTGACTCTGCACCCAGATATCAAGATGCGTAGGTGAATGGATGCTCTTATGATAGAATCCAGAGTGGGCACCACAAAGGAGGGCGAGTGGCAACACTCAAATTAAGCCTATGTGGTCGAGAGAGACAGACCAGGCGCGGTGGTGGCTGACACGCGTGGGCCGGCGAGCGCCTGATCGGTAGGCTCTTGAGGATTCTACTGTAAATAAGCAGCTTAGGCGAATGACAAGTTGACTAACACAAGATGGGAGACAAAGATATTAGACACTGCGTAGTTAAGTACATTAGAGTGATCGCGATTCATCAAAACACTATATGCATGATGGACTCGACACGACTAGAGAATTACGGTACTGGCGATCTCTGAGTATGTTGAGTGCGAGTGACAAGCAGGTCGCGCGGGACACACACAGACAAGACAAAGAAGGCGTGTCGGGAGAAGCACAGTGTTACGGGTATCGTCTAGGGGATCGTAGTTCATGCAAAGAGACGGGAACTGGAGTCAGAGAGAGGGATGTACGTGGGAAGCACTCCAGCGTGCGTTGGAAGCACACACTGGAGACATGACAAAGCTAAAGAGTAGTGTGTATATCGCGCTTGTGATGATCATTTCAAAGGATGACCAGTGAGTGGGGGGGTCCAGTTGAGGAGCAGAGCATATAATAGAGTTATCATAGCCACGACTCTCTCTGGGAGCAACATCGTAGGAGTGTTGTGAGGGGGTATGTGATGGAAGGAATGAGAGGCACTTCGAGAGCGAAACGGGCAGACCAGGAGAGAACGAGCCAAGTAGGACTGTCTTAATACATGCGAGAGGATACAAAGTCTATAGGATGGTTGGTGTTGAGGAGTACAGCAATGATAGCAGGGGAAGATGTGCAGTGTGGTGGAGGGGCGAGTCTCTATTATATACATCTGGGGACGCGCACAAACGTGGTACTATATTTATAGTTGCCTACTACTGAAAAGAAGTAAGCACGAGGGATGATGTGTTCGTACAAATATGACATGCGGACAGTAAGGACGGGTACTACAGTATAGTCGTGACAACGATCGGCATTTGGCACGGGAATATCTAAACATGTCTCTTGCCACACGATCCAGGAACGTGACAGAGGATGTGAGTGAGAGGAGATACTGGGGGTGTGTGTACGTGATCGCCGATGACAGAGGGACAATCTATTGACAGATGGCCAGCCAAAAGAGAAACAAAGTAGTCAAAAACTCTAGTGCGAGTTCACAATGACATCATCACTAGAGGCGTACACTGGGGACGGTGGTGGTGGGGATGAAATAGATTTGGGGATGACGATACAACAAGTGTTTGCTATGTGACACACAGAAATATGGTGTGACATGAATGGTTATTACACAAGTCGGCAGTTGCATCTTCATGAGGATGGGTACGCTGGATGGTGGTGTGTAATGGTGGAGACGGGTAGACTTGAAGGGATGGAGGATATCTGATATCGTACGGGTGACAGGGTAACAGACGACATGAGTTATATCAGCGTTCGAAAACACGTCTTGTGTCATCAGGATGGGGAGTAGGAGGAGACGCGAGCGGTAAGTCAGACACAATGATACAAAGAGCGATACGAACACAGTGGTGAAGACTAAGATGAGAGTAAGAGTCTATCTCTACGGTTCTATCTTGGAGATGTCGGGGTGCAGCGTGAACTCGGCAGGACTTGCAGGGACTCTGACTATGTTGTATCACACTCTAACGGTTGAGATTATAGGCTCGATGGACGAGAGGCGACAAGGCGAAGGAGACTGTGGAGAGTGTGGCGAGATGCTCGACAGGCACTTAGAGGGGCGCGTGACAGATATCGAAGGATATTTCTGGAGGGTACACTTCAGATGTTGAGCGACCCGAGGTGTTTTTCACAGATTGTATGCGTGGCACAAGGGACAGAGAGTGCAAGGCATGGAAGTAGGGTGGGAGATATGTGAGGGAATACGCATGACACACTCCAGTAGCGCACACTGAGGAGGACAAAAAGACACGGCGTGATCGGCGAGGAAGAAAGGTAGGTGCGTCGGATTAACGACGATGGGTGCTAATCTTCGTATGCACGAGGGCGGCACACGCTTAGAGTCAAGACTCGCAGTGTCCTCCTGTGGATCTGTCGAAAAATATAATCTCATGTTACACTATAGAGGTACGCGCGCTACATGGTTATTCTTCTACATGTAATGTTGAACGTCAGTGACGGTGCGGATCTCAGCATGACGAGAGAAGATCTACTAGCGCGACGATTTCGGATAGCATCCTCTATTCCCGTAGTGTTACACAGCACGTACTGCGAGTATACTCAATTCTATGATGTGGTATGACACACTCACTAGTCACTGTGATCAGGTTAATGGACCAAGCAATTGTAAGGAGAATGTTGAGTAGTGAGGCTAACGCGTCGGAAGGGTAAAGAGAGACTAGGATGACTAAGGGGGGTGGGGAGAGCGAGAGCGAATAGACACGCGGAGGCGAAAGTAAACCACATAGATTAGTAATCCTACAGTGTTCACTACCGACATCGAGAGCGAGTTCCTAGGTATCGAAACTCTACACGGCGGTAGCGGGCAGAGATGTTTGCGTAGATTATGCAGCGTAGGGCTGTAGATTGTCAGGAGTGGATCTCTATTCATGTGTCAGAAGGCGAACAAGGAACAAGATATATGGGCGAACGGTGGAGCGGAATATTAAATCTGTAGCGGTGACAACTCTGATGGGGAAGGCTGGGCACACATCACAATCGAATAAGGAATCGATATCGGCGAGGTGGTGACTGTTAGATCAATGAGGTATGCTAACAACTGGAGAGTAGCAAATACCTGAGCTGGAATATGGTCATAAGGGAGGTATGGTAGACATGTGAGTGGTCAGACACCCGATACACTTCAAACGAGAATAGTAGGAGAGAGAATGGGCACAAAAGTTTATCGGAGGCCGATATACAGAGATAGGGCGTGGTAGAGACTGCTAGGTGATTATTTTGAGCTATCATGGAACTAGACTAGCAAGCTATGGATTGCGAGTTGAGCAAAGAGTAGGCTAGCTTGGACTGTTGCAGAGGTGATGGCTAGGTGTGTCTATGTAGTGTGCAGTAGGGTGGAGATTAGACAGTCTGTGAGGAGTGTCTGGGGAGTGGATTCACACACAGAGGTGTAGGGTATGTATTTGGGTTGACATTTGTGGGTAGTTGTCTTTTGAGCGAAAGATGTATCACTCATCGGACAGGGAGGGAATGTGACTGGGCGCTGAGTGCGGGGGTTAGCAGGGGCACCTGAAGGGTGTCACGTCGTGAGCAGATACTGTGGGGAGGGAGAGGTATAGCGATGACAGAATACGCAGAGGTGAGAGACAACTGTGATGTGACCATCAGCGGTGGAGAGTAGAGGGATCGCGGAGTTGCGAGAGGACTTACTTGGAAGAGACTTCAGTCAGATGAGAATGTGCGAACTCTGAGAGAGGGGTGAACAGCTATGCTGTATGGACACTTGATAGGGAGATATCTATAGAGAGCAGGATGGAATATAGTGAGAGCACGATCTCTGACAGATACAGAGGTAGGAGGAGGTGGATCCTATTGGTGGTGGGGGAAAACAGAACTAGCATTAGAGGATGTCGACCGCAGAGGAACTTATGGAGATTACTGTGCTTAACTGCGGGTATATGAGGCTGGCTTGATGGCGGACAGACAGAAGGACACAGAGGATGACGCCAATGGTCATTGTCTTCTTCTGTGCAATTTTATGTATCGTTAATTCGAACTAGAGAGGCGAGAGGAGAGCAGGGCTCCTAGCCTTAAATTAGCAGTGCACAAGGCAGCGTTCGAGGGAAGCTGGGGATATAAGCTTTCTCAGACTGTGGTAGATGTTTACGTGCAGCAACTACAAGACGGTGCTAAGCATGAGGCGGTGGCCGTCAGTGTCAATTAACTCAACAGCTGTATACAGTGACACTTAAGAGGATATAGGAGAGGTGAGAGGGTACAATCACTCGAGGTAGGGATCGTACAGTACGCGCTATCATGCTGTCTGTGCAACAGCAGATGAGGACACACAATAGCAAAATTGACTCGGATCATGTAGTGCTAGCAGCGTAGCGCGTATCGACGATCAGGCACGACAGGTGTCGCGGCGGGTAGCTTCAGGATCAGATACCGGGGACACAGCGAGCGCGGATCTGACAGAGAGAGTCTAGGTTGTGATATTGAACACAGTCCTGTCAATACACAGTCGATAGGTTAGATGGGCAGCGAGAGACTTGGTAGAGGCATGCACACTTCAGGATAGACGGTGCTCACACGTACAGTGCGTCGCGAAGATCAGACGAGGAGCTGAGACAGCGACTCGCGAGTTGCAGAGTGGGATTATGGCAGTGGGAGGAGGACATCGCTAGCCAGATATGTTACGGAGGGAGATATCAGTTTGAACAGAGAGGGTAGAGTAAAAAGGCGAGCAAGAGGGTCGAGGGTAGACAGGGATAATCAACTCCTGAGTTATAGGTAGGCAGTGTAGGGACGATTTGGGGGCACAAACAATTCACGGCGAGATAGGTTTCTCTTGATTCAAGCGATAGGGTCGACAATAAACATTGCCAATCGCGATAAAGAGTCTTGTTGGAAGCGTCGCGCAGCAGAACACTGGATTGAGGTGTGTGGAGATATATGCTAACAGAGTCGTTAGCTCACAC